GGGTCGATCCTACGAGGAAAATGGTTTAGACTTTACTTTAACCAACAATTATATTCAATTAGTCAAATTACTTCCAGAAACAGGTAATTAAAAGGGGGTTTTGTTTGTGTTAAACAAATAATAAGAATTTAATAAGTAATCAGTAATCAAAACTCAATTTTGGTTGTTATCAAGATGAGAGAAATAACTAGGGTATACATGTTCCCACAAGCTCATAACGCAGTAGTCTTAGTAATAACAATCATTTCCTAGTGTACTACATGCAAAGTGATAAGTTAGGTATCTCTAAATCCTTGGTCCGACATCTAGAGAATTTCATCCCACACCTTGGTCCGGCTACGTGTGTATAATTTACTAACCCTTACTTCTACCTCATATTAGACATCATAATCGATGTTTGGCTTAGTTATTACTTCGCACCAATCGACACTAGCCTATTAGATAGTATCACACTAAATCTATATTGATAATTCTTTTCTCGTTAATTACCTCCTTGGTCCGGCAAGTAGTAACAAGACAAGTTCTAACGTTGGCCACCGTTAAAAAGACTTCTAAACGAAAGAATTATCAATGTATACAAAACACTATTCAAGATTTGCTTATTTACTATTCATACTTTGTTAATCGCTCATGGTTCCCACAATCCTAGTTGTGGATTTAGTTACCCATATTAGCAAGAACACAATTCATAGTTTTAGATGAAGAAATCATGAACTTACGTGAAGAGAATAATAAACCCAAAAATTCAACTTGAATTGCAAAGCCAAAATCTTCAAAACGAACTTAGGATATTGATAATTACTAGGTTTTCGAATTAATCTCACAAGTCACAAAGTAAAACTAGAATAATAATGTCTAACCCCTCAAAACGAGGTTTTCATGCCCTATTTATAGAAAACAAAGCCTAAATAAAAAGGGAAACAAATTAAGGAAAGTTTGTTCAGGCACACGTCTTCATTCCACGAGACTGACTTACAGACCGTCAATGGATCTACGGTCCGTAAGTCCCTTCCGTCAGCCAGGACTTAGAAAATATTTCAGCTTCCAAAAATCAGCTTCTCTGAAGCAAACGACGGACTTACAGTACGGACCGTAGATCGATCTACGGTCCGTCAATCCCCTCCGTAGCTCCACATTAGAATCTTCAAAAATCAAGTACTTGAACCCTCGCAGTATCAATCTATGGATCAACAGTACGGTCCGTAGATCAATCTACGGACCATCAATGACCACCGTGGTTCCACACTTGGTCAGATTTCCCTGATTTGTTTTCCATACCTTGCCCGCTGATCTACGGTCACAACCTATGGACCGTCAATGGACCTACGGTCCGTAGATCACCTCCGTTAATCCCCTTTTCTGCATTTCTTTCAGCTGTCTCTATACTTCCGCGCCTGAACATCTTTCCTGCAAAATATGATAAAAACACATAAAAACCAATACAAAAAGGCCCTAGACACACACAACTTGTAAGTGAAATGTATTAGAAATACTGTAAACTCACAGTATATCAGTATGCAGATACCCTTTGCCATACTTTATGGACGTTGGTACCCTTGTCGTCCAAAAACTAGAGCATATATACCCTTTATACTAATGGAAATATACGTGTCATAATCTTATCCATCGATAAGATTGCACACGTATCCCTATTTAGTCTTTCGTTAGAGTGAAGGACATATACGCTCTAGTTTTTGGACGGCAAGGGCACCAATGTCCCAAAAGTATGACAGAGGGTATCTGCATACCATTTACAATAATTCGGAGGTATATTTATCCTTTTCCCAATATTTAAATGAGGATATCAAATAGAAAGTGTCGTATCAGAAGGACTACATAAGTGAATGCTTGTACCACTATTATCAGAGGGAATAAGTAAAAAATCTGAAATTATAATCGATATTGAGTGGATTGAAGACTCTAAAACATTAACTATATTGATAAAAAAACATTTACCTTGATCAACTAGGCAAAGAAGTTTCATTACTAGAATAAAAATACGGTCTAAACGCCTGTTGGCTTTCTCTTATTGCTTGTTGCTGTTGGAAATAAGTTGTTTTCTGGTTGATAGTAGATAACTCCTCCTACAATGAGCGTTTCTCCATGTCCCCTACTTGACGCTTCTTCACTGCCTCCTGCTCCTTTGCTAAAGCTTTATCCGTGTTTGTAGCATACACACTGTCAGAGAGCTTTAAGGCCTCCATCCCCTTCTTCTGTACAATATTTTCCCCATCCATGCTGGTAAGACTAGAAATAGTTGTCTCAATTATGTAATAAGTATTTACCAGCTCTTTCTCTGTCTCTGAAATCTTGGTGTTTTCCTCCGGTATTCTTGTTTCCTTGTGAACTTTTTCAGCATCTTCTTTTTTCTTGCCTCAACATTTTAAACTCAACCTAGTCCTTACCAAGCCTCTAAGTAACATGTATTACCTTCTCATTCTCCCAATTAGACCACCCTTGGATCTCTTTCTACAATGTCTTGAAATGTGAAGTTAGCAACAATATAGCTTCATCACTCTCATTTTGAGAGACATATTTCCTTAGAGACTCATCATAATAATCTGGCACCGCAGAGGAAATAGTTGTGTTGCCTGGGGCCTTTATGCTAGACTTAGGCTCCAAGGAGAAGAGAGAGAGAGAGTGTGTGTGTATTATTATCATAACAGAATGAATGTTCAAGACAATCTACATCTTGGCTTTATACACTTGTAAGGAATGTACTAGACTATAGAATGGAATTATCGGCTTCTAACAGACTCTAGGTTAACTAACTTCAGGACTTGCATTGTTGCAACTAACTAACTTGACACAACAACTTCTAGATTCCACCTTAGCTAACAATTTCTTCTTCTTTAAACTTGCATCAACTCTGAAACTGCTGATTTTGGAAGAGGTGTGGAACTTGCTTGACAAACATGTGAACTTTTAGACCAAGGTTCTTTTCCATAAAATATATTTGAGTACAAATAGAGGATTTTAAGAGTAAAGTTGTACATGTTTTCAACAATGTATCGTATGTATGATCATTCGAGATAACATGAAAAAAGGAAAGAAATATCATAAAATATATTCAGAATATTTTATTTTCTAAAAACATAAAAGATTTATTCATAAAAATCCCGGCTCCGGCACTTTTATTTACACATATATAGAGTCTGAATCAAAATTACCTAATTCAGATGAACCTATAATGAAAATAATCAAACCACATCCAGATAATGCAATAACATTATGCAACTATTTCAAATCCAATGTGAATAGGTGAATACTAGTACTGAGTAGATATATCTAGACAAAGGAAGAATTTCCACTAAAAATTTAACTTATGTAGAAACAGAATCACTTACTTCCAAATCAACAAAAATGAAACGGCTCTAAGTAATATAATATCATCTTTGTCTATATATAACATTAAAAGATGTTCCACTTCTTGCTAGTAGACAATCAAGATCCAACTACACTTTTGCATATGAAGTTAATTTTGAAAACAAGGTTAGGAAACCGATGTAAGATAATAGAATGCAGCAAAGAAATAGACTTTTTTTGTTTGGCAAGTGCTATAAGGGAAAATAGGAATGAGATATCTCGAGTTTGAATCATGTGAATGAACATTTACCCCTTGGTGGAACAAAATTTGTCAAGATGTTACGTTTCAAACAACGAATGGTTAAATTAAAAAAAGAAAAAAATGTTGTAAGTGCAAAACACTTGAGATCATACTTTGGGAGCTTGAGGAAGTATACAAAATGCTTGAGGAAGATTAAGTTTTAGCACATAGAACAACATTATGTATTAAACCATCAAACTTTAGGATTTACAACGACCATTAAGCACGTCTCCCTTTTTGTAACTCTTTTCAAATGTACTTTCTACATATCTATATACCTTTTTGCATTTTCCTATCAACTATTATAGTTACGGTAAGAAAGGAAGGCCTGACGATAAGTACATAGATTTAATCTGAAAAAAAAACATACAATGACAAGTTTCATTTTCCTACTCCTATTTTGAAGTTGCTAACTATTCTGAATCAGGAAAGTGGACACTAATCCGCTCCTTAATTGGTGTCCTACAGAAAGGGCATTTTTCCATTCCTTTCTTTTGGTGAAGCACATTGCAATCTTCACAAAGGACTTGATGAGCACAAGGGAGAAAAACCACTGATATCTGCTCATTCATACACATAATACACTCCCTCTCCACATTTAGAACATTAGAGCCATAACTTTCTGCATAGGCTGCTAAACCCTTTGTCATTTGTGGAATGCCTCGTTTAAGTGCCTCTATTTTTGATCTTTCAGATTGGAATCTCAACAGAGAGATTTCACTCTCACACTTTTGGATATCTTCTTTATACTTTTGCATGTTTCTCTCTACCTTTTCTCTAAAATTATCTCGCTGCACTTTTCCGTGAAAACGGAGTTGTTCTCTTTCAGCTTTCAGAGAATCAACTTGTTGTAGAAACCTTTGTTTCACCCGTTCCTCCTGCTTCAATAGGACCTGAAATTCATAAATATTTACAAATTTATGTATATAATAGAAGGAATATCAAATAGAAAGTGCATTATCAGTACGACTACATAAGTGAATGCTTGAACCACTATTACCGGAGGCGATAAGTAAAAAAACAACTAGTCATTACCAGCCTGAAGACTCTAAAACACTTACTATATTTGTAAAAGAACATTTTAATCAACCAGACAAAAAAATTTAATTACTAGAATAAAAATACCTTAAACTGGTCCACAACCCTATTGGCTTTCTCTTGCTGCTGTTGTAAAGAAGTTTTTTCCTGCTTGATAGTAGATAAACCCTCTTCAAATGAGTGCTTCTCCATATCCGCTGCTTGACACTTCTTTATTGCCTCCTGCTCCTTTGCCAAAGCATTATTCACGTTCATAGCATGCTTACCGGTGGAGAGCATTAAGGCCTCCATATCCTTTTTTAGTCCAACATTATCCATCTCCAAAGTGTTAAGAAGAGAATTAGTTATCTCACTCATGGAATTAGTATTTACCAGCGCTTTCTCCATCTCCATAATCCTTTCCATAGTGTCTTTCTCCGGCATTTCCTTTTCCTGGTGAACTTTTTCAGCATCTTTTTTTTCTTGCCTCAACATTTTAAGCTCAGCCTGGTCCTTGCCAAGCCTCCAGGTAGCCTGCATTACCTTCTCATTTGCCCAATCAGACCACCCTTGGAGCTCTTTCTGCAGTGATTTCAAACGGGAAGTTCGCAACATTATAGTTTCATCTCTCTCATTTTGAGGGACATATTTCCCCAGAGACTCATCATATGGGATACCAACAAAATAATCTGGCACCGCAGAAGAAATAATTGTGTTGTCTAGGGCCTTTTTGCTGGACTTGAGCTCCATGGCGAACGAATCCAGATCCTTATCATTTACATTATCTTGCATATGTGGTACTTTGGAGGTGTCACTTGCAGGTGCAATGGATGTGGAAGGGCATGGACTATCAGAACTTGCTTTTGCTAAAGGTTGATTGCATTTAATGCAAGTTGTTCCTTTGGAGTGTGAACTCTTCTTGGTTACACCAGTAAAAGATAAGTTCACATTCTTGTCCAAAACCAAACTTTCCCAGGCAGTCATGTTTGCCTTAATATTCTTATTTGTACGGCTTCTGCAGTTCTTCTTCTCAAACTGATATGTCTTTCGCCTACGCAAATCCTTCTTGGAATTTAGGGAATTTTTACCTGCCCCCGATTTTTCTTCTAAAACTGCTCCTTTCGATTTAGCCTCTGCTTTTGGAAAAGGTGTGGAACTTCCTTTTCCTTTTGCCGCTTGACAAACATTTGAATTTTTAGACTCAGGTTCTTGAGGGGATGCACTAGCAATATGAACTTTGGATTGCAAGGTTTGAGCAATTGGGGTAAAAGGTTTTGACAACTGTTGTTTATTCAGGTTTGACTGAGTATTATCGGAAGCCTCAATCTTTGATTGGGGAAGATTCAAACCAGATGAGCTATCACCTAGACTTTCTTGACTGCATAACTCAACCAGATGATAACCTTCCATTGTACATGCATGTATTGGATTCAAGTCCAATATTAATAGCCACCACAATGCTTCTACAACTGGCAAAGCTGGCTTAACCTCTCTCAACACACATATCATCTCTAGCAATGTGTAATTAACCAAGCTCGGTAAATCTTCAAATACAACAGGTCTATCAATATCGAAAACCTTTTCCCTACTCAATAAAGCCAAGGCACCATCAACTACATTTGAGATAGCGTCTTTGCTTCCATGATAAAGACCACTCCTCATGATAACCCATTCAGCAATTTCCTCACTGTATCCACACTTGACAATCTTCTTGACTGCACTCTGGAAAACTGTGGACAAATTTTGGGTTAAAAGCTCAAGAAGTTGAGTAGTTATAGTATCCTCCCAATCTGCATCTGGTGGCATTTCCACCTCTTGTTCCGCATCAGACTGAGGACACCCGCCCTTCAATGGGTCGATCTCAAAAATAGTGTTTTCTTTCGGTGCTTCCTCAAATAATTCATATTTTGGAAATTCCGTTAGACATGACACTGGTGAATCAGTAAGAGTTCCTAGAGGAAGCTCAGATACTAACTTCCTCTTGTTCATGCTTCCTATTTTCTTGTCTGAAATCACCAACGACTTTTTATTGGCATCATCACTGATGTTATCATCAACCATGTTGATTATGTTTTCTATGAATGTTATTATTGTTGTACTTTGATCAATCAAGTGTCTAGCCACAATTTCCGGTCCTGCAACAAAAATTCATTCAAGTGATAATATGGACGTGTGGGGATTATAAGTTAAGATAACACATAACAACAACAGAGAATTAGAGTTGCCAAACAAAAGGAGAAAACCACATTGCAATGTTTATTTGATAGGCTAAATAACAAAAAACAAAAATGACAAGCTGATAGCAACAAGAACAACTAACTTCAGTGATCACAATTAAGCAGAAATCGTATATGTGGAACTCCCAAAGACAGGCTGACATCAATAAAAACAACTCCAATTAGCTCAATAAATCAACAACATTATCATTCAGGTGAAGCTGCCAAAGAAGTACTTAATATTCTATGAGGATTACAAATTCTACCATATTTCAGTTACTCAAATCTCTATCCTTCAATGTAACATCATTCAACGGTAATTCGGGGATTAAAATTGAATAAAACATAGCAGTAGGGAATTAAAAATTGCCAAAACAAAAGGGAAATCGTGTATCCATTATTTAAACAAAAATGCGAACGAGCTCCCAAACATTACCAAATGAAATGGATATAAAAGAAAAAGAAAAAAATTACCTCTGAGTGACAATAAACGATCTCCCAAAAACTCACTCGATTGAATAAAAAACTTCTTTTTCTGCAAAAAAATAACTCAAATAAATTAATTCTGGAAAAAAAATCACTCAAATGAATCGGGGAGGGGGGGGGGGGGACCATCAAAATTGCCAAAAAAGAAGATGAACACAGAAAACCTCAAATTCTATCAAGAAACCAATAAAGAAAATAATCTTTTGAAACCTAAATAAACTCATCCCATAAATAAAATCAAGAAACCTGAAAAAGGGGTTATACCAAAAGTGAAAAAATGGATTCTTTATATATATATATCAAGAATGAAACTAGATTTAACAAAACTTCAATCCAAAATCAAAATGGTCACTCACCAAAGGCTTTGAAAAGGCACAATCAAGAAAGGGTAAACTCCATTGGGAGCATAAGCTATGAGTAGTCTTTTGTTTGTGGTGCCAAACACTGAAATTTGGATTCCTTATATAGAGTCACTGGTTTGATGATAATTATGGTTAGGTACATTGTATTTAATCTCTAACTCATCTGTAATTAAATGGAATTTAAAACTCTTTTCCATTTTCAAGGGGTTTATTAAATAGTTATTGTGAAAATCCTCAAATATTTGGCATGTAAGTTGGATTTAAGTCAAAGAAATAAAATGTATATTCAATTCATAGAATCTAATGACTCTTTCTTGGATATTTCAAATCAAAGTAATTATAGTAAGATGGCATTGACAAAATAAACATATTTTTTCAATGTTGTTGTAGCACATTAGTTTTTTAAATTGATGGTACAAATATCTCATTACTCATATTGATTTATTTCAATTTTCACATAATTTTACGGAAAATATGTTAAATAATTAAACTAAATGATATAATTAGTGTTGACACCAACATTTTCCCCTCCTTTCTTTTAATTTATTTCGTTGAGCTTCTAAATTGCTAATAAGTTGAATACTTTATATTTCACTACTATTTTATTTTACTACTAATGTTTTCGTAATTATCTTTTAGATACTATTATTACCATTACTTTAACTTGTTATTATTTTATGATTATCATATTTTTATTATCATTTTCACTATTTTAAAAGTATATTTTTACTATCAACACTATTATTACTTCATTGTCGTCTTTTTTAAGCTGATTGTCATTACCTTATTTCAAGTTTTCTTACTTACTAAGTTTTTACCTAATAAATAATATACTAGTTATTAAATTAGAAGCTCAAATGAATTAACTTAAAAGAAGAAAAAAGGCCCAAAATGCTCCAGCAACTCAGCCGATTTGGTTGTATATCCATTTTCCAGCCCATTTGAAATCCTAAAGTATTTAACAATTGGAAAAATTACATAAGTGAATGTCTTTTATTTAATAATTATCAATTTCAAGTATACTTTTAATTTATTATCATTTTTGTCAACTTTTAGCGATACTAACTTAAACAATCTTGTTCCATTAAACTTAGCAAAAAGTGCTGTAATTCGCAACTTTTAGCAATACTACCATTCAGCCAAATTGTTATATATGGTTAAAAGAATAATGTTGACAAATATCGTAAATATTTTTTAAAAAGTGTACACGTAAGTGATTTTTCCTTAACAATTTGGCTATCCAAGATGTAGCCCAATTTACTCATAGTAGGAAATGACATATACAGACAATTACTTATAACTATTTGCAACATATAGCCCAATATTAATAAGCATTAAATAGACAATCCCAATAAAATATTATCACAAATTGTCCCAAAATTAATTCGACTTCTTAATAGGCGTCCCCCCCCCCACCCCCCCGCACCCCCCACCCCAATTATGAAACTAACAGTTAATGAATATCATAAATTAAGGAGACATGAGTATTATTTTTTCATGGTATTATAAGTCTTGAATTGATAAAGATGGTCATTCAGTTTCCATGAAATTTAACAATTCAAAATTAGTGTATTCAAGAAGAAAAAAAATCAACGCACTTCAACAACAAACAAAGAAAAATAAATAACATCATTGATAGTTTTGATTTATCATAGCGAAGAATGCGATAGTAAAAATTATTTTGTTTATTCAATGGAAGGGGTTGTTATTACAATAAGTATTGATTTCGATTGATTCAAATGGATTTCAACTCATTTAAATGTCGATACTTTCATCAATTCCTTTGAATTTTATTTGGATTAATAACAATTCAACACCGATATTGATACGCAATTCTATGGGATTACACGTATACATCGAATTGGAAAAAATATTTATTTCAATGGATTCATTTAATTGATATCAAATTATTTAAATGTCGATACTTCTATTAATTTCTTTAAATTTCATTATAAGATTGATGAAGCTTCAATACTCAATGTTAATGTAAAATAATATGGGATTACGAGTGTACATAAAATTGGAGAGGGTGTTACTACAATTATACTAATAGAAGGTCAATTTTATAAGGTAAATGAGATTGTGTCAAGGTATTAGTTATTGTGAAAAATAGTTACGTATACATTATGTATCTTGTAAAATAAGTAGTGCGTATAATTATGTGATAAGTTTAGTTAACTAATGAATTCAATTAGCTCTATTTGTATACATAATCTTTCATTCAAAGAATATTTATGAATTGTCCTGTATTCATTGTTGTATTCATCAGTTCCGTATTTACCTAACAAATTTGTATATATTTATTTAAATTGAGATTGGTATACATTAATCGAAGTGTATTTACATGGATAGAATTTGAAGTTGTTGGTGGAGATTAAAAAAATCGAGATCATGATACCGATTTTTTTAGAAAAAATTTATGTGAAGCTTTCTAACCCATAGAATTTATACCAAAAAATCAAAATCTAGAATCAAAACTATTGCCCAGAAGAGTTGAAAAACTTCAATTCCACAAATCACAAAATTTTCTAATGATTTGGGCAAGAAAGCACTCAAGAGTATATATGAAAGAGAAATTTATGAGAGAACAATGGATACATATACAATTATATATTGCATAATTAGATAGAGCAAATTAAGGAGAAGAAAAGAAAAGAAGAAATTATCGAGATATTTAAAAAGAGAAAAAAGAGACCAGAAAAGAAAGAACACTACTTTAAAACGGTTAACAAAAAAATAAGGAGAAAAAAAAAATAGAAACAATAAAGCAATAAAATAGGAAATGGGTGAGAGAAAATCAGATTTTTTAAAAAGCTTTTCAAAAAACGTGACTTTTGGATATCAAATATATATTAAAAAATCCTTTTTTGCCAATAAATTAAAAGTGGGCTATTTATTGCCAATTTAGTCTATAAATTGTCATGTTGTGCCATTTTTTCAATAAATTGAGGCCTAAACAAATTGATGCCCAAATGATTGCTTTAGTGACCTTATAATCGAGCTGATGGACTAGTTTGGAGGAGCCTATGTAGAAGAAGTTGTAGAAGAGCACCACCACGGTTCAGGTCCCGACACATGGGGGATTAATTCAGCTGCAAGGATCGTGAATCAAGGGAAGAATGAGACCATAATTTGGAAGTCGCCCCCGACCGAGACCTAGATGGCAACCTAACCGAGTACGTCATAATTGAGAAAGGGAAGACCCACCCCCCAGAGCCAGAACACAGGCGCCGACCTCTCCGCCACCAGCACAAGTGAATAAGAAAGGATCACGTCGCCAAAGGTGGCTTACCCTCTCCACTTGAAACCTAGGTCAGATAGTAGGAAACCACGAGCAAATTACCACCTATTTTTTTAACTTGCTACCCACTTTTTGGTGGGGTGAGTCTTCATTATTTCTTTATCAATTTGTGTTATGATTGATCTAGATTCATATTAATTGTGTTCTTTGTAATCATATAGTCATATATTAATTTGTACTTGTTAGCTGAAAACTGGGCGACTCAATAGAATGGGTGGCCTAAAGCCAAAATTTTGAAAAAGATATATATATATTCTCATAAATTCTAAAAAATATTGTAATTAATTATAATTGAATAATTAATTTTTCTTTTTCAATTAACAGCATAATATTTCTTGTAATATTTTGTAAGAAAATAATAAGTATATATAAATTATTGTATGTTACATAACAACACACATATTTAAATCTCTTTTATTGATCATAGTTTTGAAATCTTTTTCAATAGCATCAATTATTATATAAACTATCAAGATTATTCTAAAAGTGTTTAAAAATAAATTAAGACCTCACTTCATTGAATATGTCAATTAGAGTATCATTTATTTTTTTACTTATATAATATTCCATACTTTTAAATAAAAAATAATATTATAATGATTGTTACCTTTAGAAGACATTCAAAGTTAAAACAATATTTTTTTTTAAATTTAATTATTTGATAATCTAATTAGTTTGAGCTTGAAATGTTTAATAAACCATCTCAAAGAATTGAAGACAATCTTACAAAGCCAATATTAAACACATGATTGATTTAAATTTAAGTGAATTAGAGAAATTAAGAAATAAAAAGTAACTGAAAATTTAATTGTTTATGATTTTTAATTATACTTACATCAATAATAAAATTTCAGAAATATGTGCATAATAATAAGAGATTAGCAACAAACTTTTTATTTTTTAAAATTAATATTATCAAGTATTTATAGTATACATAACAACTAAAAAGGAACGGAGGAAGAAGTAACATAATTTTTTTATACTTAGGGTTTCATCAGATCTGGTCGTCTCTCTTTTATGTATGTATCTCCTTCATCTACTTTTTGTTCTTCGTTTAATCCTGCCTCTTATTGCAATTTGTTTCTTTTCTGTGTTTCTTTGGTTTGTTTTCGTAACTGAATTTGGGGTTTTTTTGGTTGTTTTGGAGGCCCTAGTTTCTGGTGCAATGACTATTGGAAATAATTGATCTAGTTACTACATGAGCATGCATTGGAATTATGTGATAAGAGATTAAGAATCAATTGAAAACTCATCTTAATTTGCTCTTTTATACCCACAGTGATGATCCGATCAAGTGAAGCAGCCGCCATGAAGCGGAGAAGACTAAACGTGGATTCGCCTACTCAGGGACTTGTAGATGCTGACTATATAGTTCTCAATGTGGTGAAAAGTAAAAAGAATCAGGGTATCTTGAAGGCAGGGGTGAAAAAAGAGGCAAACATAGCACCAATTGTTGTGGATAAATCCTTGAAGTTACTGGTGAAAAAGAAGTTGATAAAAAAAGTCGCAAATATACAAAGTAAGGGATCAAGGGATCCTTATTACATGGCTGTTGAGTTTGAACCTTGGGATGAACTGACTGGTGGTGCGTGGTACTCGGAGGGAAATCTTGACAAGGAATTCATCACAGTTCTTAGAGACACTTGCCTCAAGGTCATACAAATGCTGAAAGTTGCTACTGCAGAGGGAATCCACGATTTCTTGAAGAAAAGGAAAGTTGTTGAGTGCACAAGTCAGCAAATCGCGGAAATATTGAAATCTATGGTTCTGGACAATGCTGTTATAGAGGTAAAGAGTATTGGATTGGGAGAATATCATTCTATTCCTGTTGGATCAGTATGTTATCGAACTGCAAGCGGAGTTGCTCTAGAGGCTGATCCAAAAACAATCGCGCCAATGGCTTCAATTCCATGTGGTGCTTGCTCTAGGATTAATCAATGTACACCAAATGGAGTTATATCCCCACAAACCTGTGTCTACTACACTAAATGGTTGAACTTTGAATTTTGATGGTAAGTAAATCCTACACTCTAGTTTTCTTTGATGAAACCAATACAAAAGGTCCATCTTTTTGAATGTGAAGTATTCTTTGCTAAATTGCCCTGCATTATCAAGTTTGCAACTTCATTCACATTTCACATTTATGGTGTGTCACCTTGTTTGGATGGTTGTTACTGGTTTTATTGTGTTGCAACGATTTATATTAGTTTAAATATATAGTTTATTTTGATAGCTACTTAAACTTGTATCGTATTGTTATAGTTATCATTATATAATATGAAGTGTCTCATTTTATATGATGACTAATGTGCTGTTACCTTATTCTTATTTTTCACATTTTGTTTTATTTATTATCTAATAACCATATTTTTCTCATTTATTATTATTCAAATTATTTATATCTGACATCATATGACGACATAAAATGATGCAATCTATTCGAACATTATATTCATCATAACAAAACAATACAAGGCAACACAATATATCTTGAAACAACCAACCATCCAAACAAAAAAAACCCAGACACCCAAAACCGACTTATAGAAGAAAAAAATCTAACTTGACTACTATTGGATTATCTCAACCATTAAATGAAAAGGAAGAAAACAACCCATTAAAGAGAAACTGAGGGAAAACAGAAAAAGGGGTGCATTAAAAAAGTACAAGGACAAATATAATATGACTCTTTTCCATAAAATATATTAAGCACAAATCTAGGATTTTATGAGTAAAATTATAAATGGATTCCATAAAAAGCAATGACTACTAAATTTTGCTAGTAAAATTGTACATGTTTTCAACAATGTACCATATGTAATGATTATTTAGACATGAGGAAAAAGGAAAAAGGAAAAAGGAAAAAGGTAAAAGGTAAAAGGTAAAAAGTACCATAAAATATATTAAGAACATTTTACTTTTCTAAAATTAGTTAAATTATAAACTTCGAATCAAGAAAAACATAATGTGGATAAATCAACAAGTTAAACAACATTATAAAAATTAATTTTGCTATTATATATTGTATACTGATTAATTCGAACCCCAATTGCCGAAAAATCATACTCCTTTTAGATATACAAGGTTAAAAAAATTCTTTTATATATATATATATATATATATATATATATATATATATATATATTAAGAATGTTGAACTCAATTGATAATTTTTTTTGAACTCCACCTCTTTTGTTAACACATATACAAGGTCACACACCACCAGTAGGCAGTACATGTTTTGAATAAAGTCTAAATATTTATTTGGTTGCTGATGTAAAAGACAAATAAAATGCATCTGTATGTGTATTCGATTACTGAATTCCATGTGGTTTTGAATGAAGTCTAAAATTTCATTTGGATTTGGACAAGACACTGAACTCATCACATTCTTCTCGTGCAACAAAGAAGAGCTCTCACTCTAAAGTAATTACTTTGGTTAAAAGCAATACACCTTTAGTGAAACAATTTCTAATAGTCTGCCCTTCCTCATCCATTGCACCTACAACTAACACCTCTAGCGTGCCACCATGCAAGATAATGTAAATGAAAAGGATTCAAATTCGTTAGCCTTGGAACCTAAGCCTAGCAAAAAGCCCCCAGACAACATATTTATTTCTTCTACGGTGACAGAGAGCTTTAAAGCCTCCATCCCCTTCTTTAGTACAACATTTTCCCCCTCCAAACTGCTAAGACCAGAAATAGTTGACTCAATTATGTAATAAGTATTTACTAACGCTTGCTTCGTCTCTAAAATCCTCTTCATGGTGTTTTCGTCCAGCATTTGCGTTTCCTTGTGAACTTTTTCAGCATCTTCGTTTTCTTGCCTCAACATTTTAAGCTATGGTCCTTGCCAAGCGTCCAAGTAGCCTGCATTACCTTCTCATTTGCCCAATTAGACCACCCTTAGAGCTCTTTCTGCAATGTCTTCAAATGGGAAGTTAGCAACCATATAGCTTCATCTCTCATTTTGAGGGACATATTTCCTTAGAGACTCATCATACGAGATACCTACATAATAATCTGGCACCACAGAAGAAATAGTTGTGTTGTTTGGGGAATTTTCGCTAGGCTTAGGTTCCAAGGCTAATGAATCTGAATCCTTTTCATTTCTATTAGGCATAATACATAAACATGACCCTTAACTTGGCTCCAGTGGGCAACTATGCCCTCCAACTTTGAGTGTGCACAAGTAGGCACTTAAACTTGTATAAAATTGAATAAGTAGACACACTTGTCCTACATGGCATAATACACATAGGACGCCACGTAGGACACAAAATTGTCATGTAGGGTGCCATGTAGGACGATTGTGTCTATTTATTCAATTTTATACAAATTTAAGTGTCTACTTGTGCACATCCAAAGTTAAAGGTCATAGTTGTCCGCTAACGCCAAGTTAAAGGTCATGTTTATGTATTATGCCTTTATATTATCTTGCATGGTGGCACAATGGAGGTGTCAATTGCAGGTGCAATGGATGAGGAAGGGTAGACTATCAGAACTTGCTTTGGTAAAGGTGTATTGCTTTAACTAAAGTATTTACTTTAGAGCTAGAACTCTTCTTTGTTGCACAAGAAGAATGTGATGAGTTCAGTGTCTTGTCCAAATCCAAATGAAAATTTAGACTTTATTCAAAACACATGGAATTTAGTAACCGAACACACATACATTTGCATTTTATCTGTCATTTTCCTCAACAACCAAATAATTATTTACACTTTATTCAAAATTGTACTGCTACTAGTGTTTCACATTTATGGTGTGACCTTGTTTGGATGGTTGTTACATTTTGTATTGTGTTGCGACTATATATGTTATTTTAAATACATTGTTTGTTTTGATATTTATCCTTTAAATTGTTTATAATTGACATTATGTAATAATGAAGAACGATGCAAATCTATCAAAACTATACAATACAACACAATGTGATATGATACAATACATCGTGAAACAATACACAACCACTATCCAAACAAGTCAATCAAGAAACCCAAAACCGACTTAGAGAAGAGGAAAGAAAAAACCCATTAATGATCAAGTTGAGGAAAAACAACAAAAGGGGTGCTTTAAAAAATCTTAAGGAAAAGTATAATATGACATTTTTTCCTTCAAATATATTGAGTACAAATAAAGGATTTTAAGAGTAAAGTTGTTAATGGATTCCATAAAAGCTATGGCTACTAGATTCTGCTGGTAAAATTGTACATGTTTTCAACAATGTACCATATGAACTATCTTTCGAGATAAAAGAAAAAAGTAAAAAAAAATATCATAAAATATATTCAGAATATTTTTTTCCTCTAAAATTAGTCGAATTACAAGTTTTGAAACAAGAAAAACATAATGTGGTTGAAGCAACAAGTTAAACAACATTAATAAAAATTATATATGCTATTAGTATATTGTATACTAATTATTTTGAACTCCATTTGTCGAAAAATTATACTCCTATTATATATAAAACGTTTAAAAAAGTTCCTTTTTGTATATATTAGAGATGTTGAACTGATTTGATAAAGATATTACCTCCGCTATACTTTCATTAACACATATATAGAGTCCGAATCAAAGTTACTAGCTAAGTTCAGATAAACTTGTAAGTCCTTAGTTTCATCTGCCCAAGTTAAATTAAAATAACCATACCACATCCACAGAATCCAATATCATGCATGAGTTGTTTGAAAGCCAATTGTGAACAGATGAATACTAGTGCTGAGTAGATATGACAAGACAAAAGAATAGCTTCTACTAAATTTTAACTTATTTATAAGCGGAATCATTTACTTCCAAATCAACAAAAAAGAAATGGTTCTAAGTGGGATCATATTATCTTTGTCCATATATATATTACATCAAAAGATGTTCCACTTCTTGCTAGTAGACAATCAAGATCCAACTACTCTTTTGCATATGGAGCTAATTTTTATTCTTACGATTTTCCATAAAATATATTGAGTACAAATAAAGAATTTTAAGAGTAAAGTTGTAAATGGATTCCATAAAAGCTATGGCTACTAGATTCTGATGGTAAAGTTGTACATGTTTTCAACAAATGTACCATATGAATGATCTTTCGAGATAATAGGAAAAAGTAAAAAAAAAATATCATAAAATATATTCAGAATATTTTTTCCTCTAAAATTAGTCGAATTACAAGTTTTGAAACAAGAAAAACATAATGTGGATGAATCAACAAGTTAAACGACATTAATAAAATTTATTTATGCTATTAGTATATTGTATACTACTTATTTTGAACTCCATTTGTCGAAAAATCATACTCCTATTATATATAAAACGTTTAAAAAAGTTTCTTTTTGTATATATTAGAGATGTTGAACTGATTTGATAAAGATATTACCTCCGCTATACTTTCATTAACACATATCAGAGTCCGAATCAAAGTTCAGATGAACCTGTAAGTCCTTAGTTTTATCCACCCAAGTTAAATTAAAATAACCATACCACATCCACAGAATCCAATACCATGCATGAGTTGTTTGAAAGCCAATTGTGAACGGATGAATACTAGTACTGAGCAGATATAAAAAGACAAAGGAAGAGCTTCTACTAAGTTTTAACTTATTTCGAGACAGAATCACTTACTTCCAAATCAACAAAAAAGAAATGGTTCTAAGTGGGATCATATTATATTTGTCCATATATATAGGGCAAAAACCTAAAGTATACAACTTAAGTACCTTAATTACTACTATATAGCAATAGTTTTTTTTCAAAACTAGAATTTATAGTTAAAAAAAAAAAACCTAGAAATAGTCAACGACGCTTATCTCATATTTCTTGATTTTCTCCAATTATTTTACCTTTCACGATTTACTCAGTTTTGTTATATATTCTCTCTCATGAAGAAAGGTTTTTAACAAAAATAAAATTCTCTTTCTACTCATTCTGATCAATTGTTGAAACATGGATACCAACAATTTTTGAATTCTAATTCAACACAACGAACGATGAGACACATTAGGTATTTGAACAAATAATGA